CCAAAAGCGAAGCTGTTCCATATTCTCTTCACAAAGATTTAGGACAATAAGTACCAACAGACTAAGAGGGATACCTCAAAAATATACCGTACAAAAGAGACCACAGTTTGCGTGAGAACTACAGAGTCATCAAACTGCTGTCAATCCAAGACAATGTTTTCGGGAGAATGTAGCTGAATTAAGTGAAATATTCAGTAGATACAGAACTTCGAGATTGAAAAGCTGGATTTCGTAAGGATCAGTCATATATCGACTAAATCGCAACAATCTGAACCATTGTTGAAAAATCAATCAAATGAAATCGTCACTATACATCAGCTTTCTTGATCAGGAAACGTTTGACAGTATGAATAGGAGAACGTCGTGGTATCTTCCATATTACGGAGTCCCTGAGAAGCTCATCACCATAATGCAGGTCTCCTATAATGGATTAAACCGTAAAGTTATTCATAAAGGCAAACTCACAGATACATCACAAATGAAGACTGGAGTCAGACAAGGTTCCCTACTCTCGATTATTCTCTGCCTGGAAGCTGCTGGGTAGGTTATAAAAGTCTCTACATTTCGGGAGAACCACGGAATACAGTTGACACTTTGGGTGTGGCTGGATGGTTTGGATTTGACAGATGACTTAGACCCTCTATCCCATTTACAGTAAAAAGTGAAGATGGAGATAGCCAGTGATGCAGTAGCCTCTGGATCATTAAGCCCCAACATTCATAAGAAAAAAGGAAGTTCCTAAAATACAAAACAACGAATACCAACCAGATCATATATTATTGAGAAACCCCGAAAGAGGTGAAGGCATTTACATACCAGAGCAGTATCACTGATCAACACGTAGGATATGATGCATGTAATGAAGACACAAATTGGCAAAGTGAGGGCAAAATGCTACAATTGAAAAATATCTGGAATTCGAAACACCTATCAGACAATACCATAGTCATAATTTCCAATATAAAAATAAAGACAGTTCTGTTGTACCGAGCTAAACACAGAGAACTACTACAACCATTATCAGAAAGTAAAGATTATTTATTAACAGCTGTCTATACACTACACTCAATATTCGTCGGCCGGACACCATCAGCAAAAATGTATTGCGGTAGAGATTAAACCATTTTACAGCTGAAGAGGAAATTAGGAAAGGAAGTTGGAGATGGACAAAACACACTTTGAAGAAGTCATCAAACTGCATCACAGACTAAGCCCTGACTCGAAATTCATAAGAAGAAAAGGCAGACCGGAGATCGCATAGATCTGGGAATTGCAGGTAGATATCGAAAGAATGAGCAGCACTTGGCAACAACTGGAAAGGATAGCTTGAGACAGAGTTAGTTGGAGATCCCTAGTCGGTGGCCTATGACTCACAAGGGGTTAAAGGAGTAATTAAATGAGTCCAACCTTCTTCATTCATACATTACGGATTTCAGCAAGCAGTCTTTATGTACTGCCTCTTTAATATTTGTACAATTGTGCTTTTTTATTGCTAACAATTAATATCTATTTATTGCTCTGAATTTTCTCACAATAAATCATACATAATATTTCAGAACAACCTGAAATTTTAAAAATAAAGATTTTACATATATTCAGTTAAATCCTTAAATGGTTACGTTATCGATCTACTTCAGCCGGTAATCATCTCAACGGAATTCTTAATTCATATTATTGTACTGATTAATCCCATTCATCAATAAGTTTACACTCACTCTACCATCTTACAAATATTTTTAAAAAGGTAATATAGTTGTAGTTAGTTGAATTTAATAGGCAGAGTAGTTGAAGGAGATATAAACATTTTAAACTGTTCGAGAGATAAAACAGTAGTTCATCTACACGGTAAACCAACTGATTGTTTTGTGTGAAATCAAGCAGTAGCTATGTAAAATACGAAAATCATATATTAAATATATCACTTGCATATCTTCCACCAGTTGTTCTTTACATACGTTATCATTCTTTCGATCCTGCTATCATTCTGATCGCTCTTCATTTTCTTTCGTTTTTTCATTATTTTACTCCTCTACTAGTAAGTATTCTACTTCCAATTCCAGTCATATACTACTTATGTCTGTCCTCATAAGTAGTGCACACCATATTACTATCACCTTCATTGTTTGTAATGTTTAACATCCGATAAAGAAATATCCCTAATTTCAGTTTTTTGGAAAGTTTATTACTCTCGACCGAGTTAATCGTCAAGTAGGTTTTTTATATGATTAACGATTCATTCTAATGGGCAATTTTTTCGCAACATGATTAAACTGATATCTAATTTTATGAGTTATAAATGAAAATTTTTAAATTAATCTCCTAGCAACATGCTCAGTCCTAACCGTAAGTGAATTTCTCATTATCGTGAATGCAGTTGTAAGTTCGTTTTTATAAACTATAGTTATATACTAAGCAACTTTATCATATTTGTAATATGAGTCTTTTTTATCATTTTTTTTATAAATTAACGATATACGAGGTGGGCTATCCGTTATTTTACATGATAGTATGTAATGCGAACGAAATCATGTTCCTTTTTATCCAAATTTAATATGTTCTATCATTAATTATAATTGCTTTGAGTTGAAATATTAGTCGGAATCTCTTTTTGTTTAGTTTTTAACATCGTATACAATTAGCTTCCAGATATACTGTGGTCAGAGATATTTTTTAGTTCTAGCATGCTTATGATACATAACGTACTTTCTGATTAGATTGGTTGCTTAAAATGTAATAACCCTCTAATAATCAAATCATTTATTTCAACATTGTCTACTTAGTAATTAGATATCACAATACTTAACTGAATACTTCATAGCTTAAGCTAACGCAGAATAACATTCGTATGTTCGTAAATTTTTCATAGTGGAGTGGGGACTCAATGCTTGTGACTCAGCTCAATCTACTTCGGTCTGAGTAACTAGGTACTATCATTAGCTCTTACAATTAAAGAGTAGATTGAAGGCAAGTACACAAATAAGTACCTGGTGAGTGAGTTAATAATAACAAATATTTTTAACAAAATTCTTCCATACAACTTGTGTTACATTTATTCAAAAACCAGTAGAAAACATACTTTCTAATTATCTTTGTTCTCAAGATGCAAAATTCAACCATATATCAGAAATATTCATCTCATTATATCCAAAAATAATTGTTTTACCGTGATTCATTCATACCAAATATGAATATTGATTTCAAAGATATCAACTTCTGTATGGCGTCTCGATGTTTATGTTCAATAACATTTTTGGATCAATTTCCGGCACATCGATTAGCATAGGTCCCATAATTTGATCCCTGTGACATCATTTTTATGATCTTCAGCAGTGATTATTCTGGATAACGTTTTATTTCGCCATGACTTCAGCTAAGGTTATCACAGGGTCACTCAATTTCTGCTAATAATGCTGTAGCCGTCAATAAATCCCCAAAATAAATAGTTCTGCTAGTCTTAGACATTTGATGCTGACCTCATTAATTTTGCTGGACATACCTAACTGAAGGCGCTCGGTCATGAATCCGCATCAGATTACGTCGTCCTACGCATCCTTTGCAATCGTTAACTAGCTTAGATAAAACACTCCCCGATACATCACTAGTCTTCCAAACATATCTTCAAACCACTCCGTTTCTGACTTCTGATCTGATTGGGTTGTCATACTTCGATTATAAAGGTGCCACATGTAAAGGAATTGTCAAACTCCGAATACTGTAGCATCTCTAATGTTAAAGTTTGATTCATATATATCGGTTGTTTGGATCCTTCCATCGATGTTTAGAAGTGAAATTGATCAATCACTTTTAAAATATATGCATCCTGTGAAGATTGTTTCCATATCGCTATGTTAAAGTTTCACTGAAAATAGTAACAGTGAATGCCTTTCTTGTGTTTCAATTTTTCGAACGAACAACAGTGTGCATCCACGACCCCTCAGTGGGACGGACGTCCAGTGCTTTCAGGTTTCTCGTGGCGGTCTACCTTCAATTGCCTCATGAATTCAACTATGAAATCTATTTATTTGTCGACTGTGGAAACATCGTTAAAATCTTACATAAACTTGATATGACAAGATAAAATTATATTTTTCACTCATTGTAATTCTTGTTCAATATTAACTTCGTTTTTAATTCAATATGATAATTAATCAGTATAATATTTAGTTTGATGTTTATTCAAGATATGATGTTCTTTGTATTGAATCAACGTGAACTATATACAGCTTGATAGGCTATATATGATAATTCTGGGCATTTTTCATATACAATAACTAATCAATAATCAAATATGTGTATAAACCCAAACGTAAATGAGTGTATTTTCGACTAGAGTCATCGTTGTGTTTTTGGAGTGAATAAATCTCCACTTGTACCAGTCTTGATACTCTTACTTTGCGCGTCTTGGGAATTGTAGTGGATTCTTGTTTCAAGAATAAGTAATAAGCAATTCGGATAAAACAAAACCTTCACCAAGAATGATCATCCTATAACTATACAAGTTAAATATTAATCATTAACGAAAATAGTTATGAGTAATCTATGTCGTCAATTTTTCTGTTCTCTGACTATTTAATAACATCACTGACAATATTCTGTAAAACGTAGAGGAATTAATAAGATACGATTAATTCTAGTTTAAATATTTATATTTAAACATGCTGGATGAAAATGTCATGGTATTTCATACTACTTAAATTCCATCATTTTTACTGAATCATAATGCTTTATCGTACTGAGAAAAATAAATTAGATTTTTAGTTCTGTATAAAATTATGATAATCATTAGAGTTCCTGAAATGCATAGTACGACTAATCAAACGTGGAATGAAATAGGATTTAGTTTCACCAAGAATCTTTGCACATTTTTACCTTATAGACATTATTCACTCTTACTTAACGCAACGTGAAAGGAAAACAAAACTTACTGAAAGCATAACTTATCAACCAGAGACTTAACAATAAAGTATCACTTGAAATATGGACTCTTAAAAAGAAATATCTATAGAATAAGCCTGTATTTGAAAAAAAAACAATACAGTGCAATAAAGGTGGATGTGCGTAAGTGAAATGCTTAGATACAATGGACAAATGAAGATATTCATTCCCAAATGAGATAAACGGTTTAAAATCACTACAACATTCCATAATACACAGTGTTTGTTTACAAAATTCAGTGGGTTGTTAACACTAAGCATCAAAAAGTTGTAGGGTGTGTGTGTGAAAATTTTCGTTTAGTTCCGCGTGATAAAATTTCACTTTCTTGAAAAGAAAATATTAACAATTAGTGGAGTTTATTTAAGACAAAGAAACTGTCAGATAAAATAGACTTCAATTACAACTCTTTAATATCATCGTTAGCATACAAAAAACGTATCAAGGACAGGCATTGAATATTAATAGCTGGTAAATCATTCACTCGCGCACAAAAAAGCATTGTTGGAATAAAGTCATGGGTACGGCGAAGTGTATGAATAACTTTTTATCAATACAAAAGCATGTAGTGTTTCAGGGAAGTGAAATTACGAAACAGTAAATATAGTAATAATAATATAATAACAATAATAATAGTGTGATAGTAATACTAATAATAACATAAAAATACAGAACCTCAGTCCACAAAATTAAGACTATAAAGATTCACAAATACAAATGAGAAGACAAAAGGCATTAGGAAAAATAGGAGATTAGTACCTTTTTTACCATTCATCATTTTAGACGTGGTTAGTTATTATTAATAACACTGATAACACAAAAAAGAAAAACACAAGTGCATAAGAGAGTATCGGTTACGCCAAACAACTCTTCTCAAAGAGAAGTGGCAATTGAAAAAGAGGTGGAGTTGGAGAAGGGATGGAAAGAGAGAGTAACACACAAGTTTACATCGGTTTGACAGGGAACTGTTGATTAGTTAAGTAAATTTGATTTGAATACATTCTTTGACCCTGGTGGAGTTACTATTAAAGAAAAACAAAGAGAGAATAATATTGGGGATTCTATAAGCAGAAATTCAATTTGATAAATATGAAAACGAAAAATAATTTAAATTGTTTGTTTATAAAAGAAACATTATAAAAGTTAAATACTGTAGAAACAAATAGAGATAAAATTCTAAATACCATTAATGGTTAAGATTCAAAATTATCATAAATTAGGTGGATAATGCGGTTAAGTTTGTTTATTATACGTATCTAGAAACGCTGTACTAATCGGAAATCGCGATTCTTTAGTTGACTAAAAGATAACGATAAGATCAAGGCTGGCTACTGTCCCAGTATGACTATGAAGTATAAGGACCACATCACAGATCTTAATAGCTTCTGATTGTGATAAGTGTTAGGTATCTCATTGGGTGACCAATATCTGTGTAAAGCTTTCTGCTAATTGGTAAGGTAAAAAGTTAGTTAGGTGTCTATATAGTTAACTATACACTTTCTGACCACCCAAAAGTTCCGTTGCTAGGATTCTGATTATGCTTTGAATCGAGCTAATATGCACTCATGTCTGACTATTTACAGAAAAAAAGTCAATTAATTGTTAAACAATCTTATCAACGATAATCTAGAGAGTAATTTTAGGGAGAAATACCAATCTTGAGTGATGATATATAGCTTTTGAATAGAGAATTGCTAGTTAATATATTTTAATTGGTACCAATATTACAGGATGCGTATCTAGTACAAATGTTTTATGTATTGAATTCAGAAATAAATGGAGGAAACTTGGACGAAGAAAGGATTCTACATACTCAATCTCAATCATCAGACAAACGGGGCGTGAAGACACAGATGGTAGTCAACAATGTTAGCAATAACACGGTAACCGTCCAGTCTATGAAAAATAACACGAACATTTGACTTGTGAAGTCAACTTTAGTATTTAGTAAAACGTGGTGAGTTTCCATGCCAATGTTGTGTTGAATTTTAAAATGTATTGAGAAATCCCAGGAAAGTAGGAAGTACAATTGATATAGAAAGTATAAGATTATTTGTCATTGAATAAAGGCTTAAACTAAACTAGATACTTAAATAAAGCGTAAAAAATCAAGTATCGTATTGTTTGAATGACGTTAAATTATGACCATTCAAATGACTAATAAAGGCCATGATATTCTACTTTCAACAATAAACTAATATTTTAATGATAAAGCAAAACAGGTTGGGTTTAGTCAGTCACAAGTTGACACCGAAACAACTTAGAATAAAGGTATATTCCGAAACTGCTTTTTATTCTTAAAATTGAAAGCATCAAAGATATATTTTCTAGATAAATCAATGAAAAATAACACACCTGAATAAGCTCCGATTCAAATTTTGATATGATTGTTGTTCTGTCATCAGTAGAAATTCCATTACTAGTTAAAATTAAATTTTGATTCATTAAACTAGGATCAGTTGTAAATGCTGATTTTTTAGGCCTGGATGAAACAGCAGTGGAGGTGGGTGAAAGAGAACAATCGGACTTAGTAATAAACGGACTAGTGTCCATAACAGATGCCGTACTTCTTCCATTAGTTAAACACTTTTCACTTGTGGTATTTTCTGTCAACATTGATGAGTTTTTACTCCTATTTACTTTATCGTCAGTTTCATGTAGTTTTTTCGACGATGGTGCATTAGTAAAGACAGGTGAATGAGGACGTTTACGATCGTAGACAGGACCATTAGCAACTGACAACTTTAAAGCTGATGAAAGATCTAATGGCTGAAACACAATACCTTTACGTGAAGCCATTGAATCAATCACATCATTTAAGCGTCGTGTTCTTCGTGGTCGAGTCAATAAAATCGACGGATCTTGTATACGTGATATTATAGGCTGAGCTAAAATTGTAAAAATGTATAAAAAGTAAAAGCTTGGTGATAGTTCACATGTTGTAAGGTAACTATGAAACATTAATCTTCTAGAAAGTATATTCCGCACGTCATGTGTCAGAGAACCATCGTGATCAACATGGAGCAATCAGTAAAGTGAGAACTATCCAGTAGATGATAATCCTATATAAAGACTTAGTAGCCACATCAATAAGATCTTAATCCTTTTGACGAAGACAATTTTGCTGTATTTGACACGCACACAAGTGACTGATTTGTAACACAAGGATTGAAAATATTTTCTTACACACAACGTGTGAGGTAACTGAAATACATAGGCACTACTTAACTACTAATAAGTAGGTAGACAAGACAAATGAAAAATAAGGCTTACGAAAAAGTGATGATCATAAGCAATTTATTTCCTCAACTTTTGTTATCAAAATAGAAGCTAGGACGATCTACGTGATTAGCAAGAAAAAAGTCTTTGCCCATTATTTTTTTTTAAAACAATGGATCCAGAATAAATGTGACAAATCTGATAAACCGAAATAAGTACAAAGTATTGTGATTAGGGAAAAATTCCAACAGTGAACAGCATCGGAGCCTAACCTATATAACGTAACCGATTGATTTACAAATATCATACTGATAATAGGAAGATAAGTATCGATCAGTGAATAGATTTGAGCAGTACTTTAAATTATGAACAGAGACAGTTGAAAAAATATGACCAGGGAAAGTTTTCAAGTGTTGAAGAACCGGATGAAAGATTAGAAAGACGCCCAACTTCGAAATCAACAGGCCGGACTCCTTAAGGATCGGTTGTGTACAGGCTTAATTGTGACACTATGGATCATTGACGAACAACGAAATGAATGGAATTTGCCGATAAACATCAACTAAGGTGTACCTGAGATCATAAAAGTCACATGGAATTCATACGACGGACAACATTGCAAAGTCATGTATGGAGGACAGCTGCATTCCAAATGAAGACCGGAGTCAGACGAGGCTGCTTATGCTCGCCCTTTCTTTTTCTTCTGGTGGCTGACTGGATTATGAAGAAGTCCACGCCTCAAGGGATGGACTGAACACAATGAAGAGCTTGGATGCAATTTGACGATTTGGACTTCTTAGATAAACTGGCCCTTCTATCCCATACACATCAACAAAGGCAGGTGAAGACAACCAGTATGGCAGCAGCCCCTGCAGCAGTAAGACTCAACATACACAACGGAAAAAGCAAGATCCTCAAATACAATACTGAGAGCACCAACCCAATCACACTTGATGGAGAAACTCTGGAAGAGGTGGAAACTTTCACGTTGATAAACAAGGAGGATCTGATGCACATGTAAAAGCGAGGATTGGCAAAGCACAGGCAGCTTTCCTACATGTAAAGGACATGTGAAACTCAAAACAACTGTTAGCCAACAGCAAACTCAGAATCTTCAATACGAACGTCAAGACAGCTCTACTGAACAGAGCTGAAATTTAGAGAACTACTACAACCATAATCAAAAAGGTGCGCGTATTTATAAACAATTGTCTACACAAGATAATCAATATCCGTTGGCCATATACCATCAGCAAAACCTTACTGTGGATAAGAACAAACCAGCTTCCTGATGAAGAAGAAATTAGGAAAAGACGTTGGGGGCGGTTAGGACATACATTGAGGAAATCATCAAACTGCATACCCTAACTGGCTTGGAATCCTGGAGTCAAAAGAGCACTTAGCATCGGGAATCGGAGACAGACACTGAAAGAATGAATGGCAATTGAAACAAGTGGAAAAGATTGCCCAGGACAGAGTTGGGTGGAGAATCCTGGTGGGCAACCTATGCTCCTCCACAATGAGTAATATGAATAAGTAAGATCTTGAATTGATTATCATGGACACATACAAATAGATGCTGGAGTTTTATCAAAGTATGTTGTAACGAATACAAATATTTGGTACAAACGACAATAAAGTACAGACTGAAAAAAACTATTATTTGATTATTAGTACTATTATGATTATCATCACAACTACTGACCAGCAGCTTTCAGTGTTGCATACATCAACATCATATTGGATTCAGACAAATTATCCGTTCCTGTTAGATTAGATTCATCGCATTTGCTTTCATGTTGGATTTGTTGCTTAGATGAGAAAATTTCTGGTACTCCACCAGGATGTCGAGCTAAACGTAGAGGTTGAACAAGATTTGGACAAAGTATGCGTGCTAGACGTATAATGGACGGAGTTCTAAAGCATTGTGTTCCTCTTGGAGTACCGGCTAAAGTACCGAAGAATCCAGATCCATCAGTTAATTTACTATTAGCATTATCAGTCATGTTTGTAGCAGACGTGTTATTATTATGATGATGATCATTTGTATATATATCAATGTCACCACCATCCAAAGCCTGAAATAGTAGCAAAAGTGCAGAAAAAACGACTCATTATAATTTAAGTGATGCAATAATTTAAAACTATCATAGTTAAGTGAAGATTAGTCAAAATCCAAAACTGTTTGAGTTTTGATGAATATTTATGTATGCGAGTACTTTCACGACATGAGATTTGGTACTTATGGAAGTTCAAACTAATAATTCTGCTGACAACACTGAAGAAAAATTCTAGATATAGGTGTATGAACAGACAGACAAGCATACAAACAGGGACACATACATATAGATACACATACATAAAAATTGAGTGTGACTGACAGGTATGATAACACTACTGGCCACATAAGAATTGAATGTACATGAATAACTATGTATATGTGTGTTAAAGAGAAAGGGGGGTTTCATATTAATCACTCATGTGATGATGACTGTGATAACAAATTGTTAAAAGCGATAGGGGTAAGAAAAAAAAGAGATAAGTTAAAGAGCTTAAAAAGGCATCATACGTTAATTAAGTAGTTTAGTTCAGTAGGTGGATAAATTGTAACCGCAGTTTCTGTTTACCTCTGTTTCAATTCTCATAAACGAACGAATTTACACAAAGTTGTTTGAGTATTTAACACAAGTCAAGTATCGTGAAGTGAAATAAAACAAATGATTATCTCCACGATTTACTTAAACACATAAATATTGGTACAAAGGGGCAGCAGATATATATGCACCACACTTCGTCATTCGATTTGCGTGAGGGTTGTGATACTGCTCAGGTGCCCAAACTGAAGCAGGTGGTTTTCTTAGGGGCTCACACCTGGAGCCTTTAACCTAAAGGTCTAACACTCAAGGCAGTGGAGCATCGTGAGGAGATGCAGTCTCACGGTAGCCGGTGACCAACAATAGGTTCATACGCCATTTGTTCCCTCAGGATACTGGAGCCCATGTGCACCATTGGTTTGATATCAGGGATTACGACAAACTCATTATCTTATTCCTTCTATTATATAATAAAATATAGGTGACTTTCTCAAACTTATGTATAGTAGACGATTTTCGTTCAAATGAGAGTAACTTGTTTACTTTTAACTGAAAATTTTCGTTAATCACATAAAATTTTTTTGCTATGAAAATATAGGTAACAGATGACATGGCTCAGAATCGATCAAAATGGTGTAGGTGTATACACTCTTTTTCTTCCCTTAAACCGTGAGATTAAAATCACCTTATACCTTTTTTCTACGAACTAATTCTTCCTTCCTGTATTATCCTTATATGTAATCTTTCCTTTACATATTACTACCAGTGAAGTAACTGCTTCTATAAATTTGGTGATCACCTTGTTGTGCTAATGAGGTGTGGCAACTTGGATCGATGCATATATGTGCCTGGTTCTACGTTGTAGCTGACTATATATATATATATATATATATATATATATATATATATAACAATGAAAACACAAATTAATGATGACTAACAACACAAGTGTTTGAATAAATACAACACTATTTGATAAGAATCTAACTCCAGGCATACAATTCACAAAGTTAACTGCATTTTAATAGTATTTGTTTAACATGAAGGGTTTTGTTCAGTGCTCTCAATGTTAGAGGAGTCCCATACTAGGATGTAACGGCCGTCCAGTGCTTCCAGGTTTTCAATGGTGTTCTAACACCGATCCGTTTATTGAATTAATAATTGTAAATACAGGAGAGAGAAAAATTACTATATTACTAAAAAAATTGTTATATTTATGTAGTTATGTGGTTATAACTCGTCAGAATACTTATTATAATTCTCTCAGTAGTACAATTACAAACTATTATTGAACGAAATTGATTACAAAGTATGTCACGACTATTTTTTAAATCTTTAACAAAAAGCTTACATCACATACTCCACTCGACAAACCAATAGAATGAGATTTGAATTGATGATTCACTGATCCAGTAATGTTAATAGGACCACCAGATTTTGAATTAGTTTCAACTGTTGAACTGTTCAACTGTTGCTGAGTGCGCAAGGTTGTAGTAGGACGCTCTAAAAATAAAATAATGTATGAGAAAAGTTAAGAAATCATATTTACAATTAATATTAAAAGACTTCTTTAGGAAAGTTAGGAGTGGTCAAATTAAAACATTACATCAGTCTATGAAGTCACTGACTCCTAGAATGAGATATGTTGGTAGGTTTAAACTACCACATTGAAGTCCTTGTCACTATCGTAACCGATGATTAGAGGTTTTGGAGAACATGATTCAGGATTGTTCACAATAGCCCCCCTAGTGCATTCAGTTTTTGTCCTCCCTTAGATCCCAAGTTGGTAAATTAACATTTTATTTTCATTTTACGAATCCATATTTTGTTTTTGAGTCATATCTTATACGTCTAATATTTTCTATTACCACTAATACTGTTACTACTTTTACTACTCTGAGATATGCTTTGATAGTTTCATTTAGCTGCGCTAATGCAGTCACTGTCAACTTGGATCGATGGATATACGTACCAGATTCTCTATTGTGTATGACTACATTTTTTTTACAGAATAATACAGTAAAGAACTCTATATTGGATGTCAGAAAACAAAGCAAAAGTCATCCAAAGATATACAGTTTACACTATAGGTCACAATTTGTTTCACTAAAACAAACAACTTGGATGATATCATCAAGAGAATGGTACACTTTTTAGGAAAAAACGATCTAAGTAAAGAAAAAACCTTTCCTGGAAATATTGATACATCAACTTTGAAACAAAAATTATCGTAGTCAAACGGACCAAGTCATATCAGTATCTACAAGACACATATAGCGTCAAAACAGCTATAAAAAGCCCCGATCTCACTAGTTATAAAAAGCAGATTTCGAAAGCGAAAAAGAAATGTGTTTGTGTTACAATTGAATAAGTTGTGAGTGCTGAGAGTGTATAATTCAGATGAATATCTCATTGTAATTTCAGATATTTTACAATATTTCAAAACTAAAAAACAACAACGGATACTACGACATTACCGAAGCACGACAAGAATCATTTCCGGAATATCGATCATATTTTATAACACAAACACTATATATATACCAAATGTTGCCAAGATGAAAAAATTGGATGTAAGTATCCTCACTGATTCTAGTTTGACAATTCTGTCTTCGTTTTCTGTAATACGATTACGATAGTAATGCTTCATAGACACGGTTCATATTTTATTTAATTAAGCTTTTGACATGCTCTTGGTACGTTAATTAATTTTAGTAACCTAGTGAATTCGGTACATTATTATTATGTCATTATTATATATCAGTAGGATAACTGCAAAAAGTCATAATCATTTGATATCACAGTGACATTCACCGGTTATTATGTCTAATATTGAATTAAATATTAAACATTTATTCTTTTTAACATATTTAGTAAAACTTAAGAGTGCAAAGCAGTATCCATGTTTCCATCTACTTGAGAAAAGCTGGTTAGATATAGATATTTACAATTCATTCGATAAAGATTCACAATTTAGTCATCTGAGATTTTCCTAGTACATAAATTCCAGAATTTAAATCATTTTCTCAGCAGATCGAGTATAAACGGATACAATTCGAAGGTATCAGAGAATGAATACTTATGATTTTATAATTTTCTATGGTGCTGATAATCAAGCCACATATTTATATAGTAAACTAGGGCGGATTATTACTTCTACTCATATCGTACCGACCGACTACATAAGTGACATAAATATTGCAACATTCCAGTGAGTAGTGATATTTATGTACAAAAAGACTACTATTTGATGACAGACTATGATCACTTCAGTTCAACTAATTAATAAAGAACAAATTACCAAATCGTATTAAAGGACTTTATCATTAATGACATTTTGATGGGTAACAAACAGTGAAACACTATAAACAGATGCTTTACAGAGAACGACAAGGAAAGGAATATAAACAGGCAACAATTAAATAATGACGAGTTATTAGAACAAACAAAATGTAATGAATACAGGATATTAATAATGAGAATTCATTCGTAAAAATTGCGAAACAATATGAAAAAACTACGGTGACTGAATACGAGTGAGATATGGAACGATATATATATATACTGTTTTGACAAAAATCAATATATATATATATATATATATGCATACAAACTTATTGATTATGAAAATCTGACACAAATATGGCCGCAAATGTCAAACAGATTTTGCTATCATTGTATTTATCGATTAGCTATGTAAACATAAAATACTACAAGAATGAAGTGCAACAAAGATCTCAAGTGACTAATTTCAGTGAGACTACGACTGGATAAGATGTATATATAAGTTGTTGAAGGATCACAATAATAAGAATACCCAGTAATCAACAGTAAAAATAAACATGATACTTTTATGCTTGACAAGCAAATGTCCTAGGCGATCAAGACGTCAACTATCATATGAATAAGAGTTATTTTGAACCACTTGGATAAGAACAAATAGAACACCAAATGTCCTGACACGGTAGAGGTTGGGGAGAGTCCACTCTCCTTCTCGAAATACTCTCACATGGCCACACGTATACAGACACCACCAGGGAAGTCCTACTCACTACCTTCTCGCGAAGGTGTTGTATACAAAATTGAAAAGACGAAAAGCGAGTGTCCGGTGCCTTAACCGTGTTGGTAGCCACGAAAGACCCATCTAGGGGAGTTGGAAAATTCCGATTACAAACCAATGGTGCACTGTGACTTCAGGATCAGTATCCTGAGGGAACAAATGGTGTATGAACCTATTGTTGGTTACCAGCTACCATGGGACTGCATCTCGTAACGTCACTCCACTGCCTTGTGGATTAGACCTCCAGATCAAAGGCTCGGAAAATGGCTCCCTAGGGAAACCGCCTGCTTCGGTTTAGGCGTCCGGGTAGTATTCCAGCCCAACTCACACAGATCGAATGACGAAGTGTGGCGCAGATATATTTTGTGTCTCCTTGTGCCAATGCTTGTGTTTAAATAAATAAGTTAATCAATAAACAATTATTATTATGCTTTTTATCATTACTGTAATTGATCAGTGATAAGATAAGATCACAACAACAAAAGTAAATAATAGTCAATAAACAGCTGAAAATTAAAGGCTACTTGGCGATTGCGGCATTTTAGTTTAATACTAACAAAAAGTATAAACTATTTACAACATACAATTTGAAGTCCTTTGGAATGGATCAATATCCCTTTTCTAATCTCTTCGGATGAATCCAAGATGCCAGACCTATCGGTCATATCATAAGTGCATGTGAATGATAAGCCAAGAAATGACTTGGATTTCTACGGAATGAGACATACACAATCGATGGCTTAATTATTTAATGGACACATGTATGAATATGTATACATACATCTCCGGCTGGTTTAGTCAATAGACTTGCTTTTCCCTTTCAGATTTTTCCCTAGTCCAGCCGATTGGACTCATAAATAAGTAGATTGTATATTAATATCAAAATTGGACACTGTGCATCACAGGGCAGAAACGATTACAAATCCACAAACCATTAATTTTTTGACTTTGACTAAAGAGAAATGAAACAAATTCCCAATGATTTTTTTACCCTTAGTTGTTATGTAGCCGATGATGTGTTCGTGATGATAGTAGTGACAACTTACAAGGTAAATCGTCAAATTTCTAGGAGAAAAATGCCACATACATGAAACTAAGACAATATTACATCAATATATGTATCCTTTCGATAAATACTAAATATCTACCTTAAACAAGACATGTATATGAAATAAACAGATAGTTAAATAAAGTTAATATTGTATCATGTGATGATGTTGATGATAATTCTCCTTTGCTACGTGCTTTAAAAAAATAATAAAATAAACAAATAAATCAATAACTATGGCAACTCGCAACATTATATAACGTATTATATATATTAAATTAAATAAATTACCTTTAGATTCAATACTTTTCAAACCACCATAACGTTTCCAATAAGACCAACAATCAGTACACAGACGAGAGTTAGCATTCGATGGACCCCATGCATACCATTGAGAGGAATTTAATGCTTGAATTAATAAATGAAAACAAATGTTCTCATAAGACAACTATGGGTATAAATAAACACATCAGGTAGTTAGTTAATTCATTAATATGGGATTCTTGATATAATGATGAAATTATTCTTGAAATGAAGAGATTTTTATAAGGCGATTTGAAAATATCTGGGGACTTAATGTTAATTTTTTGGTGCAGTATGGCAAAAAAAAGAATTAAATTTCTCAGCAAATAATAGTGGAAATACATCTAGGAGATGGGATCGCGATTCGACAATTATTACTTGGTTATTTTACCTATCTATATACGAATAATCAAATAACGTCAATCAATTGACAACCCAGTGAACTTATATTCATTCGCTTACACAAGAAATCGATAGGCATTTGAACTTTATAAAAATCTAAAGCAAAATTCAATAGTTAACAAGTTGAACCACATATCTAAGTAGACAATGTCCATGAAATGTGAGCCTCAAAAGTCAAGAAAACCAAACACAGTTAATACAATGAAAAAAAAACTAAGAAAGGTGTGTAGGCTTTAGTTTTGCACATACAACTTGGGGAAGTTACTGGAAAGACCAAACTTTATCACTGTGTAAAAATAGAACCAATTGGCACAGTCAGCATCTTAAGCAAAAAGATATGCTGTCCATTTATCTTAAAGTAAGTGTATAGAGCAATGGTGTGATTGGTAATTTAAATCTGTTAGGAATTGGTAGTCTATGCAATCACTGTATCAGTTAAAACCAATCAAACTACTGGGATCAAAATGTTAATGTCGTATGAAGTACCTAGCATTTGAAATATAAAACACTACATCATCTAAAAAATTAGAAACGGTATACATGTTTTTACTATACATCCAGGAGTGATTTAAAAACTGCATTAATATTGAACGTAAGGGACTGAGGTGAATTTAGATTTATAACTTAGTTGACTGAAACTTCCTAATACAGTAGTCAAAAGTTACACATTGAGTGAGATTTATATGTATTTTGTGTATACATAACCCACGTCTTTATGGTAGCAAGGTAGAAATCACCTAATATGAAGACATCGAGGAAGTAAGAAAATATAATACCAATGCTATTTTAAATTATGTCACACATGTCAAAAATAAAAAGAACAACTACAAACATAGGAAAAATGTTACAATATGAATCTAGAACATCAAATTTGAAAAGTATTTATCCAGTAGTGCAATTTGTTTGCACAAGATCATCATCTAATTAAGGGAGGTTCAGTAAAGAAACTTATGGTTACTGAAACTAGAATTTTAAAGGTTTCTTCTAAAACTGACAAATATATAACAAGAAAAAATACATATATGCAAGAAGAAATAACAACAGAGACAGTCGATAACTTTAACAAATAACCTTTCAAACTCACTGAAATCTCATAACCTAGTGTGATGAAGATAGGAAGGACAAAGAACTAATAATGTGACGAAAGCTTAAATTACTAAACAAGTGTAGCTCAGACGACCTTTAATAAGCACATTTCACGGAACATAATTAGTCCTGACAACTAAACGGTTAGTTTAATCCTTTTTTCATGAATATTTTCCCTATTTTATGAGTATATCTCAAGAAAATGAATCACTTTAAGTGTGATTGTGTAACACTAGAAATATAAAATCAAATTAAATTAATTGATGAGTGCATTGTGCTAAGAGATATGAATGAAATAATAGTAGATTTATACGAATATCAGTCAATACTAGAACAAATAGTTAGACAGAAATTGGGCGCCGAGTATAAAGAAGCCATTATGTGTGAAAATTATATTTGAAATAATCTCTGCGGTTGAAATTTAAATAATTCCAACGTTTCGTCTAGCGAATTTGCTTGAACTTTCTCAGGATAATAATTAAATTCAAAATTACCAAGGAAATAGCAAATTTTATTCTTTTTTGAGGGAAAAAAAGGAAAAAAGAAAGAATTAACTCACATCCACATCCTTCACATGGTCGACTAATTGTTTTGTCCGTATTATGATATAATACAGCTGGATTAGGTTTATTATAATTGGGAATATAAACTTGTTTTAATTTATGTTCCTGAGCAGCTAATTTAGTTCGACGTTGTCTAACATAACGATCTGTAGTTTTCCAAAAATAATAAAGTTCAACAATCGATTTATGAGTTTTCCATGGTAAACAATTAGAAAGTATATCTGCGAATACTTTCGAATATTTATCTAATGCTTCTTCAAATAAATTTGTTTCATTTGCAGACCAATCTTCTAATTGATCACGATAAATAATAGGTTGACCGCCTGAAATTAAATATTAATTATTGTATTAATTAAAATTTTCTTTAATAATAATACAGATTATAAGACAGTATCCTTTTATAATAATATTACATGTTGTATACAATTTAAAATTAATGAAATAAGAACATATTATTTATTTATCTATTTAACCACATAAGCATTGAATAGAGAGTGCTGGTGGGCGGCCTATGATCCTCCACGAGGGGTAACGGGCGTAAGTACATAAACATTGGCACAAGGAGACACAAAATATATATACGCTACACTTCGTCATTCGATTTGTGTGAGTTGGGCTGGAATACTACCCGGACGCCAAAACCGAAGCAGGTGGTTTTCCTAGGGAGCCATTTTCCGAGCTTTTGATCTGGAGGTCTAATCCACAAGGCAGTGGAGTGACGTTACGAGATGCAGTCCCATGGTAGCTGGTAACCAACAATAGGTTCATACACCATTGGTTTGAAGTCGGGATTTCCCATCTCCTCTAAATGGATCTTCCGTAGCCACCAACCCGGTTAAGGCATCGGACATTCGCTTTTCGTCTTCTCAATTTGGTATACAACACCTCTGCGAGAAGACAGTGAGCCATTATGATATTCTCCTTTATATATTTAATGGTAAAAACTTTTTTATTATTTGGTAAAACACCATAACCACAAATTAACAATAAAAACAGATCTAATGAACTGAACCATTAAAAGAGGTGTATAAACGAAATGAATAAATATTTTGAAAGCTCCTTATTAGAATACTATTCGGTTGGAATTTCAGACTAGGGTGAACTGGGGTATGAACTCACTACATCAAGTACAATTGGTCAGGGATAACCAGATTTTTTTATTTTCATACTGTCTACCTCGACGTAAAATGTCAGTTGGTATACGAATAGAAGGGGGTTTAGACTAGGACAAAGCAATAGTCAATAATAGCATTGACTTTTAGACTAAGTCATGTAGAAATATGTAAACTAGATTTGAGTCGGTGGAACAGATATCATTTGTAGTTGAAGTTATTTTTTATCCTCCTCTAAATCTTAAATTCTGTGTCACTAAATTCTCTTCACTCTTCGATTAGTTCCGCTATTTAGATGTATTACTCATGTCTAATTTTAATTGTCAGTGATACATACTATGCTGTGCTAATGGTGGCGAGGTCTAACAACTTGGACCGACATACACTAATCCTAGGGTGTCACCTCAATTATGACTCCTAATAACTTGCAAAAGGAATAGGATTTCATTGACAATACTTATTGTGTACAGGTTATTACGGTATGATTACTCTTGAAGAGATAAAACACTAGAAACATTATCCATTCTTTAGTTCATATTCATCTTTTCCCGAGTGACGAAAACACGCAAAAATATAAGGCGTATATTCAAAAGCAAAGCTGTTTAAACTGATCAGCTACCAGAAAGTCGTTAATATCATTTTGACCAATAATTAGCGCTTGCCGAATTTTATCAGGTCAGTCATGATTATGAAGTTAGATTATTCGGAATCACAGTTAGCTATAGTCAATAATGCTGAAAGATACCCATGGGTAATGATAACAACAATGCGACACGTTAAAATTTAGAAATTTATGTGTAATTAAGTTTTGAGTCACACTTGTACAATTTTTAAACATCCTAGATAAGTCTGATATAAAGATTCTAAGTTAAAATTTCAAACCTATGCTCAAATAGTTGAAAGTTGAGTATTAATGCTACTCAGCTAGATAGCTTTATATCTACAATCTCAATCAAAGTTGTATCACTTTAGATAAAAACACTACCACTAACGACCTAATCAGAAGAATGACTTGTAGAAATACATAAAACTGCGCCTCATCAATAATTAGAAAGTAAAAAGAAATATGTCAACTGAAAAATGCAAGACGCTTAACATTAACGTCTAGTTTATCAAAGACAATGTAGTCATAGTGAAACTTGAGTACTTTGATAATGATTGGGTGTACGTTAATTACAGTGTGTACATCATTGCTAAGATATTAGTAATTTTCATAGTTGAAATCATGAGTCAATTGAAGCTAGACCACCATGGAAAACTTGGAAGCACTGCTTCAAGGCCGTTTTGTCCTATTATGAGACTCATCAGCAGTGCGCATCCACGATCCTGCCTTGCGAGATTCGAACACAGGACCTACCAGTCTCACGCCAGAGCACATACCCGAAAGGCCAGTGAGCCGGCATCCAACGGTGTTAATGTCTAACTTCAACTTAAAACCCCTTCTGATTATAATCATATGCTCACTAGTGACTAACTTGAAGATACATGTCCTGGAGTTCTAGTGAGAAGCAATGACCAGTGGAGTTCAACCACGCCTGTTGTGAGATAACCACTCACTGAAGATAATTGGTGAACGGTTGCCCAAACTTCGTGGATTGGTTGAAGTTAGACATTAACACCGTTGGATGCCGGCTCAGTGGTCTACCGTTTAAGTGCTCGCGCGCGAGACTGGTAGATCCTGGGTTCAAATCTCGCGAGGCGAGTTCGTGAAAGAGTCCCACAATAGCACGAAACGACCGTCCAGTGCTTCCAGGTTTTCCATGGTGGTCTAGCTTCAATTAACTCATGATTTCAACGATGAAAATTCTGAAATTTCCACCAAAACCTCTTTTGAATATTAGTAATTCTTTCAATCGTTAGAAGAATTGAATGCAAACTATCCTCAAAGTGTCATAATCATACATTAAATAATAAACAACTATATACATATTCGTTTACATTAAATATCTGTTATATATAATTATTTCATTTTGAGAATTACCCCTGAAATTGTAAAGATGATATAATCTTGATGTATTTCTATAATATTTCTTATGTCAAGCATGGTAAGCAGAGATGGATAGTGGCTAGCAGTAAAATCCAGGACGTGCGTTTCGTCCTATTTGGGACTCGTCAGATGGATGTACCTGCATCTCAGAGTTGATGTTCGCTCTGGGACTGGAACCCAGTACCCTAGCCATCGCGTTATCCACTCGGTCACTGAGTCCTGATAGTCACTTGCTTGTGCAATGGGGTGAAGTTTATATATATATATATATATATATATATATATATATATATATCTGCTTACCATGCTTGTGAATTAAGGCTATATTGAGGCAATACGCACAGTATGCACATATGCCAATTAGAGACTGACCAGTTGCAGTTCCAACAAATCGATGGGAAGATTCAATCAAACAATACTGAATGAATTTCTTATGTCAAGTCTATAAATTTGTTAAGTACTTTACTCATGTAATTTTAAATGAGTATTCATCTTTTTTATTTAACAATGATATATACATATAAGCATAGAATTATATTCTCCACAGGATGCTAGACACCTTAACTCGATCGATTTTTCTTTGTCAGTATAGAATCCATACATATATACATATGCACAGATAAATATAAGAAAACATTCATGTTTGTTTGTATGTCTATATCGATTATATATATATATATATATATATATATATATATATATATAGAGAGAGAGAGAGAGAGAGAGAGAGAAGTCTTGATGAACTTTGCATCGGGTCACGAAAACAAGCCAAATTAGGAAGAAAAAACAAAAACCCTTTCGAGGTAGCTGATGGAAGGCCCAAATAGAAGATAATGAACCAACATTCATTACAAGAATAACTTGTCAACATTTATTAAAGAAACAAATAAAACCAAACTAACCGGGTAATAAAAGATTTATGGCTTTATTCAAGTCGTAATTGGCTTCATGAAGTATATCATGTGCATGTTGACGAGTTATATCGCGTGAAGCTGAAGCTGTAGCACTTAGTAGAAGTGGTTGTTTAGTAGACGATGAAGTATCATGTGCACGACCGTAAGTACCAACGGCTTTGGCTAATAAACAAAACATATCGATCTCTTGAGCTGTTAATGAATGGGAAGGGGACCAAACTAACTCTTCATGTACTTCAGTTAATCGGACATCTTCTGATTCTACAACCGACATAAAAAGGAATTTGAATTTAGGACTTAATATAAGATATCATTGTACAATGATTATAGAATAAAGCCAATCTGAAGGAAATTAATATACTACAGTGATCAGTTTTTTTTGTTCCAAGCTTATTATTTCAGAATGTTTAGTTTTATTCTCTAACACAACTAAGTTGTCAGTTATATCAATTTCTAATGACATTTTACACGGAACCAATTAAATCAAACCTTTTCTCAACGCTATTTAGAGTGCAAGCGTCATTATTTGTTATGGTTATTTATATCTTAATAAACTTCCTCAGTAGGACCACTTAGATTTGAAACAACACTGCATTTATGTAAATTTCAAGATTATTTGACAAATTGAAGTTTTGTATCAAAGGTTCAATTCATTTGAAACGATCAAGTCTAACATTGGCATTGATACTTATGAAATGCTTAATAGGTTGTAAATCTGACATGGATATATGTATAAACTGTGAACATCAATATTCCGCTACTGATAATAAAGTTTACCACGCAGTTTCAACTTCCTCTTTTTGTACTGTTGGTTAGTTTAGGATTACAAACGTGAAAATAGTGGAATAGGACGGCAGAACACAACATTTGACCTTGAAGGTTCAGGAGAAAAGGAATATATATATATATATAAAGCTTAGTATGAGCGAGAATAGTATCGTCAATAGAATTCATCATTTCATTTATCTGTGTCGTCCCAGAGACTTCCACGCCCTGCATTATTTGCCGACTCTGGGACTGGTTGGAAAAAGCGGAGAGGAGGTCAGTGTATGACATGCTGTCGTGGTATGAAAGAAAGCAGCAAAGGGCTAGCTTCTGTTGGTCCTTCACGACTCCCTGGTTGGGGTCCGAGAGATGGTGCAACACAGTGGCTAGAGACGTTATCAGATATGGCTCAGAATAGAAGCCAGTGGCGATCTTGCTGCAACCTTCTTTTACTTTCTACATAAAGAGTGGTTCTAACTTTCTTAACTGAAAGAGTCTTCTGGTTGTACATTTTAGTCCGCCTTATCTTTTCATGTCTTCTCTTCCTACTTTCATTATTTTGTGTGGCGCATATGTATCTGGTGCCCTTTTGTACCAATATATATGTGTTTAAATAAATAAATAAATATATAGCTTAAACATAGAATTCTAATATTTGCAAGAATAATATGAATGTTACTCATCATTTTGAGGAACGTGAAATAACAATAATGTGAAAGTTATGCTGGAGTATGAAAAAACAAAAGAAACTATAAGCGAATGAAAAGCTGCAATACATAAACTAATCAATAAGCAACCAATATAGCAGGAAAGCAATTTACTTGATTTTAGTAAACATTGTATCTCAGATTGATAATCTGATCCGATTCTCATTGAACCTCTATCTTCTTGAAGAGTTTTCAAAGTGGGATCATATATTAGTTTATAATAAAATGCCTCATCTCTGACTAGGTAATTTGTCAATGGTTCTGCATCATTGTGTAGTGTAACAGAGCATTTACCTGAACAAAATATAAATAATCAGTTTATGAAGAGCATTAAACTAGACCTGACATGATTCATTAGTCAAAACACTTATATATATATATATATATATATATATATATATATATATATATAATCCACAATATCCTACCTTAAACTTGAAGATTCTCAAACAATGTGTTCGCTGGTGTTTAATTTAGTTAACAAATTAAAAGATGGAAGGATAGAGTGATAAAACAGTTACATAGCCTTTTCTTAATCGTAGATAGACAAAAATATCCTATCGAATTTCATCTTACTAAAAGCGTCTTCATACTTTACATTCTTACATAATATCAACAGACGACCAGATTAATTCGATAATAATAATTTAAAAGTTTTGATAAGTCAGAAATTTTACAGGAAAAAATTGAGTTTCGTCAAGATTGTTGATAAATTCTGATAGGCACGAAATCCGAATACAAAAGTTCATCTAAGTTTACAACATATAATACATTGAGCTGAAGAACATGTTACAAGCTACTGAGCAAGAAAATATTCTCAATACAAATGAATAGTAATATAAATTATATCCTATGAGTTAGAATATATTGGTGACTGTTTAAATCATCTAATATGTGGTAGTGATTCAACGGTAAGTTGCGAAATCCTAGCACAATTAAACAAAGAATGAAACTAACAAAAAAGAAATTTTTATATTGGATAACAAGCAAAAAAAGACAATGAATACATAAAAAAATGCATATATAATTAAAATAGTCCAATATGTTACCCCTAATATGTGTAGCTGGTAGACATTCAACTTGTCGTGAAAGAAACAATTCTCGATGTTTTAACTGATGCCTTTGTTGTTCAGTGATTGCAGTATTAGAGCGTTTTAAGCCTTCTTTGGAGTTATTATCATTATTATTTGAATTGGTTATTTCATTTGTACATTCTTCATCATAATCATCATCACTGCCATCTATATTAGAAAATATAAAATGAAATGGAAATATAAAGCTAAACTGTATACACATACATATATAAGCAGTGGGCATAAAAAAGATACTTTTCGCATTACTATCGTTACTATCATCGATAAAAATAAACGCGCAAATGATTTCAAGTGTAATTCAATCTACGCTCAATATCTCTAAACAATAGATTTGGAATTCCTGTATGTAGGGGAAATAACATAACTTTTAAACTTCACACAACATTATATTTGTGTGCTTTGAGGCAATTTTCTAATGCAAAAACGTTGCATATCTGTTTTATGGAGTTGGGTTTTTATCACTCGATTTCACTATTCAAAAAATATACCTGAAAACTATACTCAATATTACAACCATTGTTTTCCTACTGTTTTATAGTTATGGTTTATGCATGGTAGAATTGTCTAAAAAGCACTAATTTTTAACAAAATTATAGAATTACGTTAATTATAGATTACCTCCCTGTTAAGTTTTATCGGATGTGCCCAAAGGAATGAGAACAAGATATATATGAGATAGTAAACAAGACATATCAACAGACATACAATTATAGTATACAAATGTATAGTTACATATGGACAAGCAGTAAAATCGAACAGACAAACAAACAATAGGATGAACCAGTGTTAAATAAATATACAGACATGACCTTAAAACTAAAGAATCAAGATGGTTGACTAGTGTAACCAACATGGCGTCATCCTATTTAGTACATATGAGCGCAGCCATTGTGATTCATCAGTTTTAACTTAAGAGAAGTCCAGTGGGTCCGAATGGAAAGAATATAACATCGTTTGGTGCTAGCAATAACCAATTAAGAGAGTGTGGTTTAAAACTTTACAGTGCTTGAAATTAAAGTACTACTGTGAATGACGAATTTGTAAAAAATATATAGAAGAAATTTCTTCCATTTAGATATAAACAAAACGCAATTTAACATATCAATAAACAGACAATCAACCGGTCAGTAAGAAATGCAGGTCAACTAAGTGCACAACAAAGCGGTACTTTGATTCAAATCTCAATAAGACATAGAGTTTCATTCTATAAAGCGAATCGCACACAAACCACTTTGTCTCCAAAACAGCATAGATAAGTCTAATGCTTGATTTCTCTTGTTGTACAGAAGAAAATTGATCATTAGAATTTAGTTAAACAGTCATACTAATAAGGAGAAATCTATATACACGTTCGTTTTTGTATTTCCTTTCATTTCAGTTCTCCATCTCTAAATTCAAAAGTCATTATTATATATAAAAAAGGGTTGTCATTAATGGTCATTGACTTATAAGATTATAATATCAAAAAAATTGATTACATGTGAATCGTACAGTAGGTATTTTCGAATAATAAAGAAGGTAAGAGCTTTAACGAAATTATCTTGTCAATACAATAAAGCACAAATATAACTATTAGCGTTTATATCACACTTGCAAGTGAGTAAAAATATGAAATGATTTTAAAATGTTAGTGTAAATCTTCTTCAAAGTAGAATAGAACTGTGTTTTCACACTGAATATTGACCATAACTGTATTTAGTTTACTAGCTACTCTATTCTATAATGACATATGGTCGTTGACGTTGTATAGTTTTTGGTATTAGATATTGACCACAAACAATAAATTGTCGGTTTTAAAGGAACATGAAAACAGGATGGCGTGTTATGAAGAATAATCAATCCAATATATATAAACAGAACACAATAAATTCAATAAGAACGTACAGTATTTCTCTGCCTGATTAATTAAAGCACTGGATACATCACGTCTACGGTAGTAACAGGCAACTTTAGCTTCAACAGCACCAGTGGGAGTCTACAGATTTAAAAGAAAACAAGTAACATTATCGTTTAATGACGTGGCTAAATTGTAAGGTAGTTCAATTAATTATTTGTAAATTTTCGTGATTTTACCCTCAAAAAAGTGAAGAAACTCAAACAGTAATTTTAAAATACATATTGCGTCAGTAATGGAAAGATAAAGCCTTGTAGTAAGTGATATATATCTGTATAGTACCGGAGATTAAATATGTATAACAAGAAATTTACAATCAATAAATAAAAATCAATAGACCTGAAAAATAACGAGTAGCTTGACCATCAATAAAAGCAAGAAAAAAGCGATCAATAAGTAGGTTGCGGATGTAAAAGGTGGGACACTAGCAACAATAAGAATAAGGACATGGATGGAAAGAAATACAACTAGTTAGCTAATCGAAAATGTGTATATCAACACAAAAAGCGTAAAATGGGATTATTACAGAGTTCGTCTAACACGAAATATAACCAATTCTGATCACTAAGAGAGAAACAAGAAACTACAGTGGGTTCTGGTTTTCATGAGACATTTGGACAAAAAGTATTTCAGTATTAATGAGGCCTTTTAGGGTATTACGTGTCATTTGTACTGTCATAATATATTCAAACAATGTGTTCTAATAAAGCCAGAGGTGACTTCATCTAAATATAATCCAGGGTAAAAGTATACATCAGATACTAGTGAACCCCATTAATAAATTAGCGACAGGTACTACCTAAATGATCTAAAGTTTCATTATGTTCTGATTTTGAACACTCTCGATTTGTTGCAAACCTGAATATCACAAATAACGAATTATCTCAAAGCAATTTACTATTTCAATAGAGTTTCGACAGAAATACACTAAAGATACATTAAAAACAAAAGGCAACAACAATCAAATAAACTAAAGGACTCTTCACATACTTGTGAAATGATGATAAATGTAATAAATACATTATACTGTCATAATGTACAAAGAAATTATCTACGGAAACAATACAAATATCAGTCACTTGCAACGTAGAATCTGACACATATATGCATCGATTTAAGTACCTACCTATAATCACAGTTAGATAAAATTATCACAAATCACAAAGTAGTAGAAGTAGTATTGGTATCCGTAGTATTAGAAAATAATAGGTGCGGAAAAGAAAGAAACGGAAAAGTACAAAGAGATTTTGAGACTCAGGTATCAAGGGAAGACAGAGTGAATTTGCTTGAGCAACCGCGAACAATTCTGAGCCGTGTCACCCAAGTTCTCTAAGAGTTTGTTAAGATAATCACGTGGACCCCAATCAAGTAATCTACACCCATTAACATGGCTTAGTCCAATTCACAATGACTTCGTGAACTGATGCCGTGTTTTGGTTTGGCCGCCACTACCTTACTTCCAGCCTACTCCTACACCAGACAACATCGCTCGTCGAGGTAGGCGGCGGTTGGACATACGTAACACATGTCCAGACTACATCAGTTGTTGAAAATTCACTGCCTCATTAGAATTAACTCATTAAATGCATAACTACGGCCTTTACAAACAGACATGGATATGTTGTTCATTTAAAAAGGAATCAGATGTAATATTATATCTATAATCACTGAATGGTATCAGTTTAAAGGCAAAGTTACATATAGGTACAGAAGGGTAATATGCGGACTGAACATAAAAAATTCCATTGGTTGATACATGTTACAAATGTAAATTACAGAAACTAGAGAAGTTTTCAACGGTTTGCTGCGAAGCATCACCGTAGAGACAGATTTTTTACTAATCTTTCAAAATCATGTTGTAGGTGAACTGAGTGAATATTGAACCTATGAACACTAACAGCCCAGTTATTACCAGTCTTTTGTATCCTATATGTCATCGCACAATCGACAGCATAGAATCTCTGTTGAGAAACACAACGATTGTCAGTCTGCAACACGTATGATAACGTACAAACATATAGAGAATAAAGATTTTAACATAAATAATACATGTGCTAACCATTTCAGTTAATAAAGGTTTACTACCTACGTTGTCGATAATTTACTAATTTTGCCAAGTATCCTAAACCTAACCTCAGCATTGGCCATTCAGTGATCCCAGAGTACATGAACTATGCTTCGAAGACATCCGTGACCGAAAACTAGTAGCCTACTAATATCCTCTATTCTTAATGGCGATGTTTTATAGTGTAAATCAAAAGCTCAGTTATTTTATAGATACACTGTACTTACTTTATTAAGTTCATCTATTCGACGGATTTGATATGGAGCAGTGGCTGATGATTCAAAATAAACGAAATCTACAATAGAAAAGTAATTTTCGATGATCAGAGAAAGAAAATATATTAATTATAACGCCAAAGTTAATTTTATTTATTATCTAAGCTTTCTTGAGTAATCTGATACAGCGAATAATTAACATGTTGATGCTATCTATCACATGTTAATCGAGTGAAATAGATTGTATGAGTGCTGATAGTAACAATATCTAGCTATCCAGACAAAGTTAGGTAACCACAAAGAAAATAAGTGCTTAGACTTATTATACTACAAGTTTTGAATTATTATTCACTGAAGTTAACTCACATATACCATATCAGTTCACTGTAATAGTCATTGACAAATTTAGGTCGTTAGGAGGCCAAAATTATAATTTTGACTAAATTTTATTAACTCAACACTAGACCAAATCTTCCACCCACACCCTATCTCCAACCACTATATGATGATTTCTTTTTCGAACTCTTAGGCAGACATAACCGATTTTGTAAGTTTTATAGTGGAACACATTCAATGAATGAAGGCTGATGATATTCATTCGGACGTCCAAATCGAAATATGTGAAATAAGGTAGCCCAATTTCTGAGAGCCAAGTGTCTATGTTTTTTTAATGTATAGCTCTAATAGTCTAACTTTACTACTAAATGAAAAGAATAAAACAGCAGTTTTTTGGACAGAAATGCTTAAACAAAATACTACGAAATGGAATTACTCAATCCATATCGCAATGTATGATAATTTCTTTGTGTATTTATTGTTAGAGTAGCACACACTCATGGACGAAACAAAGTGAAGAGTTAAGACCTAGTTGTAACATATCAACTTAGTGGCTAGTTTGTCGATAGTGGCATAAGGAAAATATCCACATCTAACATTAACAACTAAACCAAAGAAACGCGCTACCAGTTTTTAGAACAACCACGGTAACATACTCCATAACACATGATATTTTTTACTGATGCTTAGTCATATAAGATATTGCTAAAATACAATTGGAAGCTTTAGAACATTCTTTAAATCTATCTTGATAAGAGAAATATAAGATAGAATCCGGAAACATGTAATGCTGCAAACTAATAATTAAAAAATAGCGTGACTTATATAGACTATTGTTATTCTGATAAAAAGTGGAAATAAACAACCCCCTTTCCTTTTTTCAACAACATAAATCCACACCCGACTACTTCGTGTAGATATTATACAGAAAAACTTTTGGTCTTTTCTGAATAGAAACGTTTGAAAATAGGAGTAGGAATCTCATGCCAAAATATACGAAATCTACTCAATATAAGCTACCAATGGATTCTTGTATACTTTACAAATTGAACACTAGATTGTATATTGATTTAAGTGCACGACCATATTGACAATTATATATAAATATGATAGCAGGTAGAATCAATACATATGTGAAAGTTCTACGAACAAATTGATTTTTTCCAATAAAAAGATGGAGGAATTTATTTGCAAGGTCGAGTGTCGAAATTAATTGATTAGTTAGCTCGCTTTTGTATCAGTCAAGAATGAAAATAATATGAGAAATAGTGAATATATGTAACGATATAAATAGAAAACCAAGTTGGAATATCTCTGAAGGTGGTTGACTAAAAGATAAGAACAGGCTATGATTTGAAATTATTTTCCTGTAAATATAGAAAAATATGCGTATTAAAGTGATAAGCAAACAATAACGCCAGAAATTCCAAAAATCCTTTCAGTCAGTGTTTGTGCTGCTTGTCGTTATTATTGGTGATAACCTCGTTGGAGAAACATACATCCATCCATCCGTATCAAAATATTTTTTCGAATGATAATCAAAATTATACCCAGGTTTTAAGTCAACGCTTATCAAGTACGACAATTACGCACAGTTTTTACAATAATTGATACCACTAGTACTATGATTTTATTTGTGTCACTTGTTATTTCTAACTAGTCGTGTAGACGTGGTATGACGTGATTTAACACAAATCTATGCCAGGCTATTTGTTTGTTACGACTGGTCTTCACACATTTTGATATCAATAAGTGAATTTTAATGCTAGGTTGTTGGATGCAACATTGATAAAGCCATAAATCCCGATTGTCTTGCTTATTGGCATTCACAATCAATAAGTGTTTACAACTGCGTAAGAATATATATCGTTCGACTGACTATTCGGAGATGCTAATATAAAAGTATACAAATGTGGGATAATCGATCTTACTCTTATTACACAATTATGGATGTAAAATAGAAACCCAACGTAAAACACTGTTATAATCATCTTAAAAATAAGACGACTGGTCTAGGGGGAAAAGATATCATCAGAGAGAATAATGAGCATTTAGCTAGGCATCTGACTAGATTTTGAATGTCATAATGAAGTAAAGATACGTATCCCATAATTTGGTAGAATATAATTACACAGACTCGTCTTTAGAAACCTTAAGTGTGAGCATAAATAACAGAATACAGATACTTGTAATATGTTCTTTATAGATTCAGTGACAGGAAAATTTGTGCATTCCCAATTTCTTAAGGAATTAATATCCTACTTGAAGACAATCCATATGATTTAGAGTACAGAGAACAATTTAGTCATGCGAAAGAAATGATACTAATTAAGGTCTTTTGAGTAGCATAATTCAGAGTATGGGAATACTTAGAATTCATTCCTATTCATAGGACAATGAGATAATGCCACCAAATACCCTGATACGATAGAGGGTGGGGAGAGTCCACTCTCCTTCTCGAAATACTCTCACATGGCCACACGTATACAGACACCACCAGGGAAGTCCTACTCACTACCTTCTCGCGAAGGTGTTGTATACAAAATTGAAAAGACGAAAAGCGAGTGTCCGGTGCCTTAACCGTGTTGGTAGCCACGAAAGACCCATCTAGGGGAGTTGGAAAATTCCGATTACAAACCAATGGTGCACTGTGACTTCAGGATCAGTATCCTGAGGGAACAAATGGTGTATGAACCTATTGTTGGTTACCAGCTACCATGGGACTGCATCTCGTAACGTCGCTCCACTGCCTTGTGGATTAGACCTCTCGATCAAAGGCTCGGGGAGTGACTCCATAAGAAAACCACCTGCTTCGGTTTGGGTACACGAAAATATCCCAGCCCACATACAAATCAAATGATAATTACTACTGGAAAAATTACTCTTGCTTCAACGCTCATTCAGACAAATCATATTCATGATCATTTGATAACGTTCGTTTTTATATCTTTTATACTAAGTCACTCGTGTACTCCCCTTTATTCTGATTTTGTGTATTTTATTTTTCAGCTTATACAGCAGCTTGCCTATGGTGGAGACCCTGTCTCATCTAAACAATCTTAAGTCACTGACTGATCGAAAGTTGAATGGTACCACCGACTACGAATAACGAACCAGTCTTTCTGAGACCACATATCCATTCAAACTGGACTCATTCAACGTTCGCACACTAATGCAGATCCAACAACAGATAGGGTTGGTTATGTCCTTAGAAAGTTTCGACATCGATGTCTGTTTTCTGTCCGAGACGTGTATTCGAGACTGTACTGAAGTATTACAAATTCTCTCCATCTGTCGCTTTGGAAAGCTTGTTTCATGTCCGTTTATCCGGGTACTCTGTGGCATGTTCGTCTGGTTTTGCTGACGTTGGTGTTGCACTAAGCGCTAGAGCTAAGGCAGCACTGATCGATTGGATCCCCATTAACAGTCAATTATGTGCTATTAGATTAGAAGGCTCCATAATAGTGCTAAGAAATCGGTGTGAGAAACGATGTCTTCTAGCCATCTCCGCCTACGCTCTGACAGACTGCAGCCCAGATGTGACCAATGATAAGTTTTACCACCAGTTAACAGTTCTTCTACAGAAAGTGCGTTCGACAGACATTGTAGTACTAGCTGGAGACTTGAATACTCATGTCGGACGTTTAGGCACAGAAGAGAGTCGTTTTAGTGGCAGATGGGGACTTGTTGGTAGCAGGTCAGATGACATTGAGTACCTACTGCAACTGTGCGCAGACTACAACCTGTTTCTGGATGGCACTAATTGCCAGCACAGTCATCGCCGATGTGCCACCTGGTGTCCTTCTTCTGCATCTAAAACCTGGACTCAGATTGATCACATTGCCTTCAGCTACCGCTAGTGTGGTTATGTACGAGACTGCCACTCCTATCTAGCTACCAGCCCACTGATAAGTATACATGAGCATTGGTTGCAGTTACACAACGCCATGAGAACGGAGAGTAAAGTCGCTCGCGGCTTCGCGAAACGTTCCGCTTATAAGTACTAGGTTTTTTCAGGTTTCTTACAACTCACTGAAACCCGTCGGTCTACTCTGGGTGTCAGCCAGTTTTACCACAAACGAAGACTGTTACGTAGTGAAATTGGGCAAAGCTTCTGTGAGGATCGAGAAGGATGATGGTCGGAGCGTTCTAACGAGTTGGAAGCCGCAGGTGCATCTGGGAACTGCCAGAAGCTCTTTCAACTTATCCAAGTCACTGTAAGCAACAAGTATAGTGTGAGTGAAACAATCTGTGAAGATAACGAGATGCCAATCACTAACATCTACCTCCATCTTGTACGATGGTCAGTTTTTTGAGAAGTTCAACTGGTCTGCTGCCCCGGCAACATCGTTTAGACTGTCCTATCCTCCATGGGCCGTGACGACTGATCCACCTGATAAGGCAGAAATCCAACTCTTGAAACGCTACAAATCACCGGGCCCAGATGACTTACCTCCAGCTCTTTTTAAAGATGGTGGTGACTTTCTGGCTAAGGAATTGACTGTGTTGTTTACAAAGGTTTGGGAGCTAGAGAGTGTTCCAACGTCATGGAATGAGTCAATAGTTGTCCCTATCTTTAAAAAGGGTTCACGTCGTTCCTGTAACAACTATCGGGGGATAAATCTACTTCTGATTGCGTCCAAACTATTGGCTTCTGTCATACTTCGTAAATTGTTTAAAACCCGAGAAAGACTGACTCGCGAGGAGCAAGCTGGTTTTTGTTCGGGTCGAGGATGCATTGGTC